GTCAACGTTGGTGTTGAATAAGGGACCGTCAATAAATTACAGGTTGTTGTTGATGAAGGCTGTTTTCTTTAATAGCTTCCATGTCATGTGACCAACTGAACTAAAATTGATTCCAAATAATTGTACTAAGGTCGGACAATAAGACACACCTCTTTATTTCCCTAATTTGTCCTCTAAAATTTTTCTGTTTAATTTAAAGGCAAATTTTGAACATTTTCTTTGATAGCTTCCATGTCATGTGACCAAAAGACCTAAAATTGACTTCAAATAATAGCACTTATGTCGACCAATAAGACAAACATTATTTGTGCCCCTAAAGTTCTTTGTGTGCTTCTCCGTACTTATTCAACTTAGGAACACATGTTCTCCTTGTGCAAAAAGTTAGTGTCAACCCCTGGGGGGTCTTAAAGGGACGGTGGTTTAAATAAAGCGTCTCAGATAGAGGCTGAAATGCAGTCATGCCAGAATACATGGAAAGGTTTGGTGTCACGTCAGAATAAATTAGACATGTGAGATAACATAGAAGAAGGGAAAGGTCACTGACTCACTAGGATGCACACACAGAGTATACAGGTGAGTACATGACCGTTACATGTTGCATGATTTCACAGAAGATGCTGGATGCATACCAACACGGTGCCAAAGTCACAGTATGAAGTATGATGCACGGTCCATAGGTTAGCTGTGTCCCTATAGAGTTATAATGGGAATACTGAAGTGATTTTCTCCGGGGATTTGTCCGTCCTCTTTGCCTGTGGAGAAGAGGAATCTGCTCGCTCTCATTAGCTTTCAATACCACATCTATACGACGTGACTGTGCTCAGCTCCTTCAAATCAAGTAGGCACAGAAAAACCCTCCTGCAGAGGCTCGTCATTTTAAAGTTATGCGGAGGCCACACATACCTTCATCACATTAAAAGTAATTCTCAGTGATTAGGGTTTTCATAAGCCAATCAGCCGCGATTAGATCCGGGTGATACAGGGAGATATGAGGTGACTGTCTGAGCGAGCTTTGATGGAGGAGATCAGAAGGTTATTCCTCAGCCTGAGCCAAACCGAATGTGAGATGAGAGGTGTTAAATATTGAGGATTCCTCCTCTCTGCTCCCTCTGTCAGATCTCAGCTTCGGGGTTACGTAATGATTTTTCTCAATGTTTTCAGGGTGTGGGAAAGATTGTCTTTTGGCTGCAGAGGAGGAGAAGTTGACTGTGTGTTGAGCGCTCTCATCATCTAGTCTACGCTAGCTACCCGAGACACTTAAGCTGAATTTAAAGTGTTTGGGAAACCGTTTGAATTAGCAAGAAGTCTGTTTCCTCCTCCTGACAATTCAATAAAACTTTGGAGAAAAATTTATGATCTATGAGAGAGCTCTGAATAATCTGGCTTCATTTTTGTGTAGCTGGCATGCGGTTCGTATATTCAGTCTGGATTAGTCAGCAGGTCTGATGCAGACTCACTGCTCCACAGGAGGTATTCATATCATTTCAAACATCCTGTAATGAAGAAAAGTAAAGTGAGCCAAAAATGTTGTCACGCATCAGCTCCACAATCGCTTCAACAGTATTAGGATTACATCATCGGCGCTCCATTTTAATGCATAATCTCGGGGCCGGGCTTTATGTAACGGGAAAGTGTAAAAGCAGGCGTGAAAATGAAGCCCAAAGCTGTTCGTCATTTTAGTCCGTGTTTCTTGTACTTAATGAGAACGAAACAGCTAACTTTGTCACTTTCTCCTTAAAGTGATTTGTTTACACTCTGAGATTACATCAGTGTTGGGAGTTGACCGCTGAGCACAACAAAAGAGCAGGTGCTCGGTAATCATTACATCAATTCAACTGACAAAATGGACAGTCTGGCATAACAAAGTGTCTTAATCCATTATAAGCAGAGGGAGTCGAGTTTGGACTCATAATTTTACATGAATTTCACTTTCATGGACAACATATTGTAGTGTGATTGATGTCTTTGGAGAAACCACATGAGGAAAGCTTCTGTGCAAAGACACGGAGAGATGAGCGGAGGAACAATACGCTGGAACAACTTGACATAACATAATGTGAATAGGACTTAATTACATAACCCGACCCATGAATATGATTTCAGCAGCCACATCACTTTAGATGAATTTCCTGCAGCTGTGGTGGTTGTTTAAGAATGCAGACAACATTTCCCATGATCCCACTCTGCCTTCTGGCATTATCCAACTCGGTCTCTTGTACGCCTTGAGATAGAGAGACGCCGAGCAGCAGAAATAGCATACTGTTCCTTGAAAGAGGCTAAAACTTATTTTAATATTCACTGTCCTAATATAGTTGTTTGATTATTTATGATTCATATTTATTTATTATTATTCATTACTTTAAGGCAGCTGTGCCTTAGCCGGTTGGTACTTTGATCCAAAGTGTGACACACTGAGCTCCAAAATGCTCCTGGTCACACAGTCAGCAGAGTATAAATACATATAAGGGACATTATCTTACATTCATGGCCCCTTTTCTGT